GAGAAAAATTGAATAAGATTCAAGATGAATGAGATGGAACTGAAGATCCCAATAGCAAAACGATGCTTCTGAAGGTCAGCAAGTCTTTAGTAACTTATTCCAGAGATTCTGGAATAGACAAAGTGCTGTACAAAAAATTAAAAAGAACGATTTTTCAAGAGATCACTGAGGGATGAGTGTGTAACTAAGTGCTAGGGTTCACTCCAACCATGTTTAAGGCCCTGGGTTTAATCCCCAGCCACACACACACACATACACACACACGTCAATGAATTCCAAAGTGATGCATGAATTAAATATAGTAAAAGATATGAAAGCATATGAAAGAGAAAATGTAAAAAGAGATAGGGTTCTGAGAAATAATCAAATGTAATCTTGAAGATGAAAATTTTACCAAGTAAAAGATCCCAGTGAAGGCCTCACCAACAAGGAGATGAGACAGGAGTAAGAATGTCAGGGCTTTCTTACCAGGTTTATGCATTATCATATTCAAAATGCAATAGTATATAATAGCAAAGAAAGCAACATAGATATATAGGACACCATTAATAGATCAAACTTATATATAATTCATATAGATTAGAAATGTGAGATATAAGCTAAATACACAGAAAATCTAGCAGTGAATGACAGGCCAGGGAGATGGCAAAACAGGTAAAGCTGCTTGTTACCAAGACTCACAAACTGGGTTCCAGTCCCAGGACCCACATGGTGAAAGGAGAGAACTAACTCCCACAAGTTATCTTGTGACTTCCACATATGAGTCATGACATGCATATACAAATGTATGCATGCGCATTCACACACACACACCAAGTATATAATCACAACAAAACATTTTCAAAAGAAAATCTAGTCAATGAAATAATAGTAGAAAATTTCCCAAACCTTGGGAAAGATAGGGATATCATGTAAGGAGGTATTTACGACTCCAAATAGGACTGATCAGAAAAGAACTTCCCCACAACATATTATAGTTAAATTGCTAAAGTACGGACCACAGAAAGACTATTTAAATGTACAGGAGATATGAAGATAAATCCATTAAATTAGTAAATTTCTCAGCAGAAAATCTAAAAAGCAAGAGGGCATGGAATGATATATTTCATGCCCTGAATAAAAATAA